CTCACAGCAGAATTAAGTATAAAATTTGAAAATAGGTAAGGGTCTAAAATAGCTTAACATTACATAGTAGGTTGGTATTAAATGTACCTTAAGCAAAGAGACATTAAGGGATGGGTTGTAGTACAGAACATCAACCTTCTTGATAACAATACCAATTGATCCTGAAATCATTCAAATAACAAATTTAAACAAAACAGATCCAAAATCTGGAAAAGTAAAAATTATTCTGCCTTAAAATTGAATAAATTCTCAATTTAAAAGTTGTCACAAGGGATTGGTTTCAACTATTAACAGATTATTGGCTTATTAATAAGTATAAACTCTAAAGCTCTGCATCAATTTATGGGTTTTTTTTTCCTAGCAGTATCTGGAATATGTAAATTCAGTAGTTTCAAGGAAAGACAAAAAGATCTTATGATGTTTTAATTAGATGGCAGCTGTTTGAATTAAGTTTTTCATGGTATAGACTACCTGTAGGAGAACACAGCTGTTCCTCTCCATGTAGGAACAGCTGTAATGTTGCTACAATTGTCTACACCATCAAATTCCTATAAAAAGGAAAAAGTATGGATAAGATTATTTCTGTGCAATGCAATAATCATGATGACATTAAAAAAAAATAACAAGTGGTAGAACTACATTTCCAACTTCTCTCCATGGAAGAACTGCTTATGGTGCCTCACTGGCCAGTACTGAAGTTTATTTGGCAAAATATTATAGCTTGAAAGCTATTTCCAATCTTTAAACTCTCTGTATAGTAAATATTATAAAATTATATATCTTACCCAGCTTTTCATAAACTCTTTAAAATTTGACCCAGATGTTCCTCCTCACTAATTCTGTCTCTAGTTGCATCTTCCAGAAAGATTATTCTCATGAAAATACACAAGGGTAGGAGTAATTTATATGGCATAATAAAAAGGAGAGTCACTTAACCTGTACATTTTGTTAATAATAGAAATTTGTTCTAGTAATCTTTGAGAAACATTGTAAAATGACCATGACTTTCTACATTCATCAACATTTGGATTATATTTCTCTATACTTTAATTTTAGTCTGTTTTTAAAATTCAAGAAATGCAGAACAGAAACACCAGGTTATATTTTTAAAAAGGAATATGGGATTAATGTGTTTGGGTTGGTCAAAATATTAACAAATGGATTTTGTGGGTCGTAATTTGAAATACTTGAGTGCTACTCATAACATTGCCTTCATAATCTGGAATATACCTTGATTCAAAATCAAACAAACAGCTTTAGTTCTTAAATTGGGCATGGGGGTGCTTGCCTTTAATCTCAGTACTTGGGAGGCAGAGGCAGGGAGATCTCTGAGTTAGAAGTTAGCCTGGTCTATAGAGTGAGGTCCAGGACATCCAGGGCTACAAAGAGAAAGCCTGTCTCAAAAACCAAACCTAACTAAACCAACCAACAAAACAAACAAACAAAAAACAGCTTTAATTTTTTACATGTTTGCCAGTAAGGACTCAGAACAACAGTGAATCTATAAGTTACATGGTAAAATTTCACCAGCTGTTTACCATTCATTGTCTTCTTTTGGTAAAAATACTCTATGCTAAAGTCCTATGCAGATGTGGTGCTAAAATAACAATAACAATAAGATGACTTAAAAATATTTGTGCTTCTAGTACTTCTAGTCCATAGGGAAAATGATCAAGAAATGAAGTGTTACAGATCATGCATATAACCCTAGGCTTGAAAAGGTGAGACTAAGGATCCTAAACTTGAGGCTAGCCTGGGCTAAATAGCAAGTTTGAGATCATGCTGCATCATATAATAGGATCCTGCATAAAAATTTTAAAGATCATGAATTATAAATTACAGATTAAATAGCATGTTAATTATTTTCTTCTAAGTTCCTTAAAACTGCTCAATCCAGGAGCAGCAGTAAAATATCCCATAAATAAGAAAGAACAAATTTATCAGGAGTACTGATATTTGACAGAAAACCTAAATAACTCATTTAACCTTTCCAGGCTTCAGTATTCTCATACCAAAAGGAAGACAGTATATTCAATTTATCACCTCTACTACTCTGAAAATAATATGATTCTTACAATAGCTTAAAGTTCTTGGTAAAGTTCAAAGGCAAAAAAATAAGATGCTGGACAACATAGGACTGACATTTTGGACCCAACCTTCTGCTTTTATTCAGTAGAGAGGGGACCATGTCTAGGCAGGAGCACTAACATTTAATGAGGAGACCTTAGAAAATGGCCTATCCTCCAAGATTTGCAGTATATTTTGTATTAATGATGAAACCTGACAAATAGCATTGGAGATAATTAATCAGTGCTGGTTCCTCATTCCAAATGTAGAGCCAAATGAGCAATAACAGCACTGTGTGGACTAATTAGTAAGAATATTAAAAAGGTAAGCATGGCTTGGCTCACAGCCCAACAAAAACAAGTCAAGGAATCTAAGGAAAAATACTCCCATATTGCCCATTTATAATCATTTCACTAAAAACAAGGAAGTAAATAACTATTTATTGTGATTTGAGAGACAGAAAAAAGTCACAAAATAAGCTTGATTCTAGAGTAAATAAAATTTCAATTACAATATAAGTTCTTATTTAATGATGTTTCACAGGGGATCCATCTGTAGGACTGAATGTATACAAATATTTATAGTTTCTATGAAGTCATTGCCAGCTAACCTTTAAATATAGACTCTCATGGAAAAATGTTAAAAGGGCAATTGCATTTTCTTGCTTGTATTTTGATATTGCTCATTGGGGTGTTGCTCAACATATATTAAAAATGTATATTAGACACTAATACAATCCAACAAATTTGCTTTGAGTGGTTCACTCAGGATAAATACATTGAAAAGAACAAAATGGGTATTTTATTAGCCAGATTTCCAACTCTGCAACAAATACCTGAGATAAACGTATGTAAAGGAAGATGATTTACTTTCACTCATGCTATTAGAGGTTCCAAATCATGTTCCCTGGCCCTGTCACACAAGACATGTGAGAACACAGTACAAGCATGTAGTGGAAGAACTACTCACATCATGGTGGCCAAGATTCAAAAGAAAGAGAAGAGGAAGGTTCAGATTCCAGACATATACTCCTGGAATGTCCCCAATAACATAAATTCCTTCCAGTAGGCTCTTCCTTTTTAAAGCAATATTGAATAATGACTGGGCTTTATCACATGGCTGTTTTGGGGACAGTGAAGTCCTAAATAAGAAGCTCAAAAATAAAAAGGTAAACCCATTTCTTTATAAGATGTTCCAAGAAGCACTGTGTGTGTGCATGCATGCACGTGTACATGTCTGTCTGTGTATAAAACCTGGTGAGTCTAGTGTACGTGTTTAGGTCTGATCACTTGAGCTTAGATACCTCAGCTAACTCTTGGAATAAACTGAATCTCCCTCTCAGTAATCATTGATTACCCATATCTTCATTTATAAACAGGGACTTCTAAAATTTTCCACAATCACATTGGCATGTGGGATCCTGTGGTTGTTGTGCAGGGCTACTTTATGCAACCGTATTGTTGAGAGTTCATGCACGTACCTTTCCCCTCATGTCTAGAGGACACTACCTCTCTGCTGGTGTCCTGGTTCTCTCTTACTTTCTGCCTCCTCCTCCTCTGTGATATTTTGTAAACCTTAGATGTAAGGGTTGCATTATAAATGCATGCATTTGGCTATGTTAAAACTAAATACATTTAGTAAATTATAGTATTAGGTTCTCCTCTAGGAATTATGAACTCTCTAGCTCATGCTGTTCATGTCTAGCTTCTAGTTCATGTCGAGGTTTAAAGCACCAGGAATGAATCCCCACCTATTGAGTGGGTTTTAAGTTAAATCAGATAGCTATTGACTGACACCAAGTTATGAATATGGTGGTTTGAACAAGAATGGTCCCCATAGGCTCATACATTTGAATACTTAGTAATCAGGGAGTGAAACTCTTTGGTAGGATTAGGATTAGTAGGTGTGACCTTATTGGAGGCCCTGAGCTTTGAGGTTTCAAAAGCCCATGTTCTGCCCAGGATTCTTTCACTCTGCTTGTGGACCCCAAAGAAACTCTCACCTACTACCCCAGAGTTATGACATGCCAATATGATGATAATGAACTAAACTCTGAAACTGTAAGCAAGTCTCCAATTAAATGCTTTCTCTTTTAAGCGTTGCCTTGATCATGAACTCTTCTCACAGCAATAGAACAGTAACATTACTGTGGCAGCATTAAAGATCTTGCTAGGCTAGTCATTGTTACAGTTTATAGCCCCTACAGCTGGATAGGACTAGTGACTGCTTTTGCTTTCTCCTTTGGGATATTATGAAAGCTGGTTGTCAGCAGGAGTCTTCCAGATCAGTTCCAGCTTAATGCTTCCATGTCCTATGTCCAAAGTGTCTGGTGTCACCAATAGGTACTCACTTTCAAGCTCTGGGAGGCAGGTATAGCCAATGACAGCAGCATATATCATTTTCAGAGACTCTTAGACAATCCTTGACTAACAACTCAAAAGGACATTTTCCTTTACTAAGCACTGGAGATTAGGTTACAGAGTCTACAGTTGTTACGGGAGCATTGTCATCCTATGTAGTGGTGTAATTCCATTTAAACTATGTGTACACACAGACACACACACACATGTGCATGCACGCACATACACACGCAATGCATTTGTAAGTAAGCTTACAAAACAGTATTTCCTATGGCATTTACAAACATTCTTGGTGTTATTTTTGTTGTCTTTCTTTCCTCTGTCTCTGTCTGTATTGTCCCCTCACAGGTTAAATTCTCTTCCTCTTTCTGATCTTCTCTCTTTAACTCTTCATAGCACTCATGCCATACTACTCTAGCTCTAGATTTTGCTGCCCCCCCCCCAACCCCCCATTCCAAACCCTTCCTACTTTCCTGGCTTAAGTAGTTACTCCAAGTTATATACTCACATCAAAAAATTTGAAATTAGAATTGTGTTCGCAGCCGTCGCCGCGCCGCCTCTCGCTTGCAGAGCTCCAGCCGAAGGAGAAGTGGGAGGGGTAAGTAAGGAGGTGCCCATACCATGGCTCGTACAAAGCAGACTGCCCGCAAATCCACCGGTGGTAAAGCACCCAGGAAACAACTGGCTACTAAAGCCGCTCGCAAGAGTGCGCCCTCTACTGGAGGGGTGAAGAAACCTCATCGTTACAGGCCTGGTACTGTGGCGCTCCGTGAAATCAGACGTTATCAGAAGTCCACTGAACTTCTGATTCGCAAGCTCCCCTTCCAGCGTCTGGTGCGAGAAATTGCTCAGGTCTTCAAAACAGATCTGCGCTTCCAGAGTGCAGCTATTGGTGCTTTGCAGGAGGCAAGTGAGGCCTATCTGGTTGGCCTTTTTGAAGATACCAACCTGTGTGCTATCCATGCCAAAC